ACCACTTAGGGCTTAGTGAGTCCCCATCTCATGTACGGTAGGTAAAAGGGTCTCTATGTACTAAAGCCCAGGTCTGGTCAAATACATACAGGTATCCGTTCACTGGCTCTTAAGCTAATATGTATATAATAAAGATAAGGTTCTTGTAGCTTGTACAATCAGCTATTATTTGTTGATAATTATCGCGACTAAGGTAATGATTAGGACAAATAGTCCCATATTCCGTTTTATGGTAATTTGTTACTATCACAAGCGCACCCTGGTACATCAGGAACTCAGATCTTCATAGGGACCTCCAACTTCCTACGATAGCTGCGCACATCAAGATGATCTCAAAGAGATTCTTCGATACCGCGTCAATTCATCCGAACCCGCAGGTAATCCAAGCGTGTAACTACTCCCCGTCACCCAACTCCAAATTAGGTAAGAGGCGTCCCAAAGACGTCCTCTTAGACCCTGACGACCAGATCACGACAGACAATACGAACAATAATCCCAACAACACACCAGACCTCATAAACACACACCGCCTTCGCCGGCGAAGGCGAGGTCCCGTTTCATACACGTCACTCCGGCGTTCTGCCGTCGGGGGGCGTCATGTATTCAATCAACCCACTAATACCTCCACGACAACGACGTCCTAAGCCGAGGTCCGGCCTCTTAGAGGCACCCTTGGGACGGGCGTATCCCTGGTCGGGCCCTTCGGGCCCGAATTAAATCGGATCGGTCCCATCAGGACCACCCACCCCTCTCGGTGACGCTGTCAAAGCCACTAGGGCTAACAGCATATGTCAATTCGAATCTAAAAAAAAAATATCATAGAGTATCGATAAAATTGTTATTAACAATATGAAGAAGAGAAGTTATTTACCTCTTAAAACGGAACTATGATCGAAATTCCTCAATATATTTATTAGATTTATATTTAATAACACAAAAACACAACGTTACTATTTTTTGAGCGTTTTGATCGAATTTTGTAGAAATTTATTTCTGTATTTTATTTAATTGACTGCAGATGTATATCTTTGGCATTATAATACTTAATTTCATAATTACCAACAATTCCTGTTAATACAGAAATTACAGGACATAGTCCTACCATTATCATCAGTAAACGTTTCTATCATAGTTCATAAGTGTAAAGTAACGATCGATCCGCTATAGCTATTTCAAGGAATCAGCTTAAATAATAAAATTTAAGAGAATCTTTGTGAATATTTACAATATAAATTAAGTCCAAATCCAACAGCACCATATTTTGATAATGTTCCCATGAGACATAGTACGTCTTACTAAAAACCTTAACCATTTGAAATGTTATTTGAATGGGAAATAATATCACTGCAAAACCTAAATGTCTATGCGATAAAAATATCTTTCTCGAAACGTCTAAATATAAAATAATGGGGTATTAAGACTTACAAATACAATTAATAAAAGCAAAAGAGTTTAAGCCGTAGTGTACGGCATACGGTACCATATGTGAGTGCGTTCTATTCGCTTTCGCAGCGCTCTAATCCGAAAACTGTTAAGTTTACAGAAAAACTGCAAGAAACGTTTTCGTAGATAATTTTATGAGGAATAATTTTTATAATGACCTCTATCGACCTCCGAGCAATAGGTCGCGAAATATTTGCAAAAAACTGATTTTCGTGACCTTTTGACCTCTGTAACTTTTTCAGCCGGCACGACATCGATGTCGATTTTTCACAACTTCATAATAAAAGTGCATGAGCGACGGTACTGCCTCCATCAAGTAGGCCGTCTGCTATGTTGATCCCCATTCCCATAAAATAAATAAATCACTGAAAATGAGATACATAGTGTACCTATATATGAAGCCAATATATTAACGATACTTGTTGAAGGTTACTATACAATTAATGAGTTTATGATCGATAGCACACCTTGGGAATGAAACGATCACCTCCTGGCTATTTCATCTCATATTAAATTGTGTATATAATATATGAGACAAATATATATATGTATTTAAAATAAGCCCGCTGAGTTTCTTTCGCCGGTTCTTCTCAGGTCAGGGTATTTTCTTTTCCGAACCGGTGGTAGTGTCTTAAATGACCATCAATAAGAAAGTGTAATGCTTCTATATTGAATAAAGTTGTTTGAGTTTGAGTATGTACGTACAAAGTTAAACTAAAGTAAGTGCGTTCACTTAAACATTACACAATGATACATCAATAATGAACTAATCTATTTATTTCTGATTCAAAAAAAAACGATTATAATTAATTTATATTATATTATTATTAAATAAAATAATTATTATCATAATATATTAACCTGAATTAATCTTTAATTAATCTTATTCTAAAAGATATATTATCTTCACATTATCAAAAAAACACCTGTTGATAATTTTTCAAACAGCAACAACTTGTAATGACATTGTATAAAGTGATTGTGGACCTTTGATTTATAAATAATGTAAGTTATAGATACAGAATAAATGCTTAAGAACAAAGACTGAATCAAGTCGGATGCCATCCGGAGGTTCCGGGAAAACTACGAAACTCACTTACATGTATATTATAATGAGAATTACATATTAAAACTTATAACCTACACCTAAGACTACATGATTGACCCGATGTTAGGATAGCAATACCATTCCATAGCTTGTGTGTATCAGGAACCTTCTGGTTCACACGCTTGGTGTTCGTTCCACGGAGTCAACAGCGTCACTCGTTATATATTTTATCCGTACAACGATGGTGCCCCGGCGATGTTCATTTATTTCTTAGTATGTAACGCGTACGTACCAACTGGTTAAATATTTTTATACGTAACAATAAACAGAAAAATGTATAAAATCAAACTACAGTTATTAAAACTTTATGTAATACTTGTACTTTTCTAAAAATATATGGGCTATATACAATATTAATTTCATCATCACTAAATAATCTTTTGGGAGAGTGCTCGTTTTTAATTATTAATATACTTATATCTACATCATCCCTACGTTTCAGATCATTAAAGCTTTATACTTTCGTCTCGCCCGCTCGTGATTTGTTGCTGTAAAGAAACCGAAACTTTTATTTTAATAACTGTCCTTTAGTTTTGTTAAGGAGAATTAAATAGATTTTTCAATGACTAAGTATAATAAAAATTTGTTTGCAGTCAACTGAGATTATATGATGAAATGTATATTAGAATAAAAGTTGACACATCGACGATAACCTTATCAATTAAATTTAGTCAGGTGTATGAAGTTAAACGGTCATTTGATCAGATTACTTCTGACTAATCTGTTCAATACGCTTACCACAAGTTAGCATCGTCACACTACGTACGATGTGTTTCTCGTTTCTCATTCACTAATACCTTAATCTGTGAAGATTAAGCAAAAAAAACTGTCAAAAGTCTTTCATAGTGACGATGGAAACTAAATGTAAGCACAAATCGAGCTCATTAGGAATTATTATCATGTGATAAGATTGTGTAAATATAAATGGTCTAAAATCAGAGATAATGGTTTTTTAATTATTTTCATTTATAATGTATCGGTTTGTGATTTTGTGTTTCGCGTTCTTCTGTCTGGAAACTACTCACGGACAATCAACGCCAGTTGCGCAATGCAAGTATATGACTTGAAACTAATTTTTAATAACAATGATATATATAATTGTATAGACATAGTCAGTGGTGGCCTAGTTAAAATGCCCGCCTTTCATGCAAGAGGGCGCGGGTTCGATCCTGGCAAGCAATAATGTGATTTTTCCGAGTCATATGTACTTTTTTTAAGAGTATTTAGATACCACTGACAGAAGGTGAAGGAAAACATCGTGAGGAAACCTGGACTTATAATTTCAAATTATAAGTTTGAAATCATCAACCCGTCTTGAGCAAGCGTGGTGATTAATGCTCAAACCCTTTCCATGTGAGAAGAGGCCTTTGTTCAGCAGTGGACTCTGATAGGCTGATGATGATGATACAACTATTGGTTCTCTATTTTTAATTATCACTGAGCCAATATAAAAAACGAAATTAATATAAATATTCAACAATCTCTTAATTAACCTTGTTCTAAGTATATAAAGACATATACTTGGATATATAGTGATATATTTATTATTATTTTTGTATCAGGTCAGGCGAGCAACGGGTCACTACCAATCAATGCCTACGTGGTGGGCTGTTCAGAATTGCCATGTTCTCTACCACAAAACCAAGACGTTGAAATCCGAGTGATATTTAAAGCTCGTGATTATAAAACTAGTTAAGGGTATATCAATGAATCTTCATTATACAGGGTGACTGGTGAATTACTATCGATACTTGAGGACGTGATATTTGACGATCATATATGACAAAATAAAAATTAATATAACATAAATATTAATAAACTTCTAAGTAAAGTTAACCAAAAGTTGTGTAATTAATTACGCATCGTGTGAACACCCTACAGATTAGGTATACACACACACACACACACGGCGGCGGCGTGGTGTTGTATCAGCACGCCGCCGCACGCGTCCACACTTGGAACACTTGGAACGTGTCCACACATTATTTATTTATACGGAAATTTGGTCAAAAATTAAGTACCTATTTTTTTACATAATTCGAATGAGAATCATGTACCGAGTATTCTCCTTAAATATTGATAGTAATTCACCAGTCACCCTGTATATGTCACTAGTTTTTGCTAACGACTTCGTCCGCTTTAATGTCGGAATTAGTAATACATGAAAAGCTGACCGCGGGAACCATATTCCGCAATAAATGCTGAAAATAACCATATATTGGAATTTCTTAAGTTTCTTTTTTGTTTTTCGATGGAACAGAATTAAATATCCTATGTCCGTCTCCTGGTTCTAATCTATCTCTCCACCGATTTTAAACAATATCCCTAAAGCGGCTCTTGAGTTATAAATAGTATAACTAACACAACTTTGTTTTGTATATATAGATAACTAGAATAAGTGGTTTTCTTTTGATGTTAATTAATTGTTTCAGCTTATATTCTCTACGACATGAAGACGAGAGCGGTAGCTTTGATGGCGATACCCATCAATTATCCTTTAGGTCCAAATGAAGTCACTTGTAATTTCCTAAACAATTCCTATTGTCCGATTTTGGAAGGAGAAATTGTTGAATATTCTCTGAAAATGTTCATAGAACCTTGGTTCCCGACGGTAAGTTTGATATTAAAAGTCAGTTGATGATAAAAATTATTATTTTCGTCTAATTTAATTTCCTCTGTATATAGATTCCAGTGACAATTGAATTCAGAGTGGAGGATAAAAATGCTGTATCTGTGTGGTGCATCAGATTACCAATAGTAGTTGTAAGACCACAATAAGAAAACAATCTTTAATATAAGATTACAAAACATAAATGTAAAATAAATTAATTTATTTGTATCGTAAATTTTATTTTACTGAACGTGTTCATGAGTTTTCATACAAAATAGTAAATACGTTTTTAGTTTGTCATTAATTAATATGTATAATACTAGATTTGATTGAATTTTATTATATATCCTGTGTTAGTTAATTGAATCGAAATACATAAATATACTACTAGCGACATCTATTCTCTGGAATGTAAACTATATGATGTAATGATAAATGACGTGTCAAAAGTTAATAAAATTAGTCTGCACGTAATAACCAAATACCTATGTTAGGCATTAGAGGTTTTGAGCCCAGAACACTTCTACAGTCTACTGCCCCGCCAGTCAGTCTATTGCTTTAGCTTTAGTTTTATCCTTAGCTTTTAGTTTTAGCAGCTTAATGTCAATTTTCTGTAAATTACCTAAAAGAGGGATTATCTGAAGAACTTCCAGAGTACACAACTATTAAAAATATATTGGAAAGAGAATTTTCAAAACGATGTCGAGTGTCATTTCATTAAAAGAGACATGATTATTTTATCCAAAAATGGTACTGTAAGTACGAAACTTATATTTTTCTTCACTATAGGAAAATAGAGATTTCAACGAACAGAAAACACACCAAATTTTTGAAAAAAGCTGATATTTTGACGGGTGATTTTTCGATTGAAAATGAGGCTGATTTTTCGATATATATTCAAAATAAGCTGAAAAAATTAATATTTCTCATCAAATAAATTCTAGTATATTTGAGACATCAAAAGGTAAAGGAGATTGTCCACTTAGTATGGGGACTTTGGCCTGACGTGAACAGACATTTTATCATATTTTTTGTAATTAGTTTAAAAGCACTAACTAGTAATAATGAGAATATGAACTTAATTTTGTATCAAAATGTTTAAAAATAGATTTTTGTCATGTGGGGAAAACCAGGTTAAAGCGAAATAAAACAACATTTTTTATGATTTATTTTTATTCTGAGACATCATATGTTATTAATATGTGTTCAAGAAATTGGACAGGTGGTGAAACATGTTCCTGATACCTTGCCCAACTTCCTTACCATTGTGATTATATTCATATAATATAATATATAAAATATATTTTTCGACTTACATGCCTGCTTTGTATTTTTCCATGCAATAATCTGCTGTTGGCCAAAGGAATCGGGTAGTCAACCAATAGGTCGCTGGCTATATTTCTACATATTTCTATAGTATAGGAACCATCGCCTCTTATGTGGTGCCCATAATACGAACAAGCTTGTTTTAGTTGGTATGTTCCACATGCAATTAATATAAGATCATTATATTATTCTATTCTTGGAAATATGAAACTGTCCATGTTTACATTTATAGGTTGAAAATCTGCCCGCCTTCTATTTAAATTATTATCGATAGCAAAGTCAGCTAATGTGTTAGGAGTAAACATCTTTTCATTTATTATAATACAACAGTATATAAGGATTATAATTATATAAAACAATAAAACGTCATATTGCATTATAGGAATGGCATATACAATACATATCTATTAAAAAACGTGTAATTTAAATAATTAATTGAATTGACACTTACTCGTCGAGGAGCTATCCACTGTCTTATAATAGACTGAACCTGATTAAGATCTAGACTAGTTTATGCATCTCAGAGATACGGATTGGTAAGAAGTCACTTCTTCTGTATGCAGACTATCATGAGACACGCTTTGGTTTTGTTCAATGACCATATTAAAGCCGTGGTTAGCGATGGAGCTAGTTTCGGGGTCCATATTTACGGAGTATTGGTCATCGTTTATGCCTTGATCGGAGTCCATAATACAAAAGCCAGGGTCATCGTTTGAGCGAAATTCAGGGTCCGTAGATGTGCAGGGGTCACTGGAAAAAGATAGTCGGAGTCCATAATTAATAAACAATCGTTGAAAGAAAATCCATAATAAATCAACACTCAATGTAGTTAAACAAAGCGAATGTAAATAATCAGTCTGTGACATATCAATGTCAATTTGTATTTTTTGTTTTATTAGTGTTGCAATAGAAAAAAATCATTAAAAAATCGATCGAAAACAGATATGATTACGTTTAACATTCTTCATATTTCAGTTTATAAAACGTTTTAAATGACGAAACTAATTAAAAACAAATATTTTTTTTTTATTATATACTTATAGTTGTATTAAGTACTGCGAGATGATTCTATTTGACGCAATCGTTAATTGATCTTGCTGATAACACAAAACGTGGATCAATAAAGCAAATGAATGAAGATACTTTAAAAATATTTTTTCAATAAAATACAAATGTACACTCAAACAACAATAGAATGGCTAGCTAAAAAAAATATTTTTTTTCATTAACTTGTTTTTTTTTTTTTATAGTAGCTTGTTTACGCTAGGCCAAAAATGGACATTGCGCTTTCACCAAATTTCGTGACAAAATATTGTTTTTTCTTAAGAGATAAAAATAAAAAACCAAAAACTTGGTTTTTCGAATTTTCCACATAAAATTTGAGGTTATGTGAAAATAATGTTGGTATAAAAGTTTTAGATCTTTTTATTACCTACAACTTTGCCATATAACTTTTTTCAGTAAGACTTTTAGTTTTGCCAGAAATCGAGAAAACCCATTTTTTACCCTTAAATACCTTTCCCGACCTCAGATCGCCCGTAAATAATTTTTCCTTTAATTTTTATAATATAACCCTCCTTTTCTAATAAGTTTCATTCTACTATATTTTATTTTCACTTTTCATTAATTTTAAAGGCTTGTACACTGGCCTACAGACGCACTCAATATATTAAACTGCTCACATGCTTAAACATGAAAATACCAATACATTCTGCTTTGAATCAATCGAAATATAAAAGATATATATAATATTATGAGCCCAAAATTTCATTTAATATGTAAAATGTATCTTATAAAATGTTTCTTATTAAAAGTTATATTTAATTAAAAATTACATTAGGTATTTTTTTTACGTATTGCCAACCTTCACCATTTAAAACGTCGTGTTAAGTCTGATATACACTAAATCAATGTATAGCTTCTAGTATACATTTAAATAATTAAGAAATGAGATAGTAATACCTAGTATAATTGTTTTTGTTTTGTTTGAAATATTTGATGATTGTTTTATATTAAAACCATAAATTTATACATTTTTCTTTTTCTTATTTTAATTTATTTTGTATTTTTAATTAAATGAAAGAAACAACACTTTCTCTCTGCAAATGTTTCAAATCCTGGTTCATTTTTTATAATTACCATAACAAATTATTATTTTTAATCATCACATCTTTTGCACGTCCATCGTGTGTAGTAATATAATAATATTTTTATTATTATATTACTACATATAGCAACACATCTTTTCCCCACCCATCGTGTGTAACGCTCCTAACATCCTCAGTGTATCCAACCTCACTGCTTCACGTCAGTCAGTCTTTAAATCAAACCGGTTCATGTTCCTCCTTCCTCTGGTCACAGTCAGCTCCGATCTTCCTCATGACTCTGGCGTCTTCTTCAGTCCTCTGTTTTATTTCATGGTGAGTTCTTTACACGTCTTATTATAATACAATTATTACTTCACATAAAACATTGTTTAATATCTCAGTCATTATTACGTCTACCAGTGGGTAGGAACACATAATATTTAATTTTTTTCTAAACGCTATATTGGGCGTAGGCTTATTAATTTTATAGTTTCGTTGATTCATTGCTATTTATATTTTAACTTTTCTGTTGATAATATTTGACCATACCTATCCTAAAATATGTAGTATCTTTTATATGATTAATAATCTATTAGTAAGTTGGTATATGTCTTTATATAAAATAGTATTATTTGTAAGGTTCCAGGACTCGTGAGAATATATAATTCAAGATGAGGATCGAAGCTGTTGGTGGAGCGTCTGTTAGGACGTGGTCTGTGGACGAGAGGAAACCTTTTATGAAGAGAAGTGTATGTAGCTGATGTACGATAGTAGTGTGACGGTATGTACTGTTGAATATTTAATATTATTCTGTTATTATTTATAGTAAGGGTGAATATTTTTTTATGTTCATTAATTCAATACTTTTATTTTTATTACATTAACTATTCAGTTACCATTCGCTTTCGATACGTCATAATGATTTAATAAATAAATAAAAAATAGTAAGTCAATTATTAAAAGATTTATTTAGATAAAATATTTTAATGGAGACCTGAAATGTAACATCATTAAAAATATTAAATATTTTAAGTATCTTCATATTGCTACTTGACTATTTGAAACACATATGTATATACGTTACAGCTTTCCGGTTTGCTAAAAATATTTCTATTTCTTTTTTCTTAGCATCACTTGTATGTTATTTTGTATGTTTGTTACTTACTGTCAGAAATAAATAATAATAATTATAATAATAACTAGCTGCTGCCCGCGGCTCCGTCCGCGTGAACATCACAGTTGTTCTCTGTCACTAAGGCCACTGAACCTGAACTGCTTCCACTTCATGGTTCAACCCGTAAATTTTCGGGATCGGGTAATCGTTATGTAATCGGATAATCGGGATAAAAAGTAGCCGAAGTCATTTTCCTGGGCTTTATTTATATACATACTAAAATTCATCACGAACGGTTCAACGGCTTAGCAATTAAAACTTAACAGACATACAGTTACTTTCCTATTTATAATATTAGTAGGGATTTGAAAAATAATAAATAAACACTGTTATAAAATACTAAATTATAAAGTTGATATTTGTTTAATAACACAAAAAAGGATAGAGTTATAAATGGAAGCAATTTATCCCTACTAATATTATAAATGCGAAAGTAAACTCTGTCTGTCTGTCTGTCTGTTACGCTTTCACACCTGAACAACTGAACTGATTTTAATGAAATTTGGTACAGAGATGGAGTTGACCTTGACAAAGAACATGGGATAGTTTTTATTGCAGACTTTTGAAAAGTTCTCTTGGGCGAAGCTGCGGTCGGAAAGCTAGTTATAAAAGTACCACATATCTTTTTAATATAACGGTACCCTTACAGATATCTAATCATAATATGAGGCGAGTGTAGTGTACACACTGGGAAAAGAGTACGTTCATGTGTTTTAGCCTAAAGTGAATGGAATTGCTCACATGTACCCAAAGTGTACACTCGCCTTGTATGACATAATCAATGGAATAGAAATATCTAGCACTCCACGAACTTAAACACTGAACGAATCTCTTTTTTTCATTCTAGTTTTATTTTGAATAATTAAAAATATGCTACTTTTAGTCTGTCATTTTATAAGCGAGTGTTTTTGTAATTTTTTTAAACATTTAATAATTTATTTTAAACCGACAATAATTGAAGTAAGTGTCTTTGTATGTCTCTATACATATAAGAACAATATTGTATTATGTTTTACAGATGGTGTTATTGGACTGTACTTGAGATTCATCCATCAGGAGATGACGGCTGATCATCAAGTGTTAGATGAAAACTAACAATGAACCAAGTATTGATGAAACATAGAATTATATGAAGAGGAGAATGACTCGGTTAGTGTAACATATTAGAATAGAGAAGACTTGAAGTATCAACTGTAGCAGTCTCCAGACAATATAAGGAGTGTGTTCACTATAAACATGTACAGTACGTGTTTGATGTGTCTATTGATATCAAAGAACCTCCTGGAATGTACGTATACATAGAAAAATAATTAATTTTAATTTATTTAAAACAATTTAGAGCTCTCCTACAGAAACATCTTCCTCAATCAAAGTACTCATAGTTTCACTACCGTCGTATGTTTTCACTACATGGTCTGTCCATCGATCATGAAATATATGTTTGTTTCAAAATATAAAGATAAGTAAAGTTAATGATATCCAAACAAATCTTTGTAGAAGACCGCAGTCTTAAGAAAATTATTATTTTCTAAACGCTATATTTTGCGAAGACTTATTATTTTGATAGTTTGGTTTAAATCATTACTATTTTTATTTTAACTTTTTTTGTTGTTAATCTTTGACCACATCCTAAAATATGTGCTATCTTTAATATGAATAATAATAATTTATTATGAAGTGGATAGTCTTTATATGAAATAGTATTATTTGTAACGTTCCAGGACTCGTGAGAATATATAATTCAAGATGAGGGTCGCAGCTGTTGGTGGAGCGTCTGTTAGCACGTGGTCTGCGGACGAGAGGAAACCTTCTATGAAGAGAAGTGTATGTAGCTGATGTACGATAGTAGTGTGACGGTATGTACTGTTGAATATTTAATATTATTCTGTTATTATTTAACGTATGGGTGAATATTTTTTGAGTTTATTTATTCAATACTTTTATTTTTATTACATTAACTGAACGCTTCCGACACGTCATAATGATTACATAGATAAATGAAAGATAGTACATATTATGTAAATCAATTATAAAAAAAAATATTTACATTTATAGATATAAAAATAAATTGCTGTTCGTTAGTCTCACTAAAACTCGAGAACGGCTGAACGGATTTATCTCATCTTATTCTTGAAATGTTCGTGGAGGTTCAGATAAGTTCTAAAAGCTGAAAAAAAATGATTCATTTCCGGGAAAACTCTAAAATCAGCCCTTTTCTATTTCAACCATTCTGTTCGATTGAAACAGGAAAAATTTAATAAATACCAATAACTGGTTATTAAGGACGGGATAGAGTTCGCCCGGTCAGCTATACATATATTACTAATGACGAAATTAACGCGGACGAAGTCGCGGGCAAAAAACAGAGACGAAACTACTCATCATTCTATGGATTCACCGTGCGGGTGCCGGGTCCATCGCGTTGCAGGGAGAGGAGCTTCAACAGTGCCTGGGACTTGCGACCTAAGTGTAGGCTTAAGGGGCCCCTTAACTAACGCGTGTTATACGCTCACCTCCACTGTCCAAGCTCCTCTCCCTACCTAACCAAATTTGATAAGAACCTACTATGGCTGCCTTCGATGTACGTTCCAAGAATGCATTAATGTGAGTTCTGGAGAAGCCCAGGTCCTTTAGTAGGTTGTAGATTTCGCTGTTATACCTCTCGCTCCCACCTCTACCGCGTACAAATCTACTACGAACCTATTTCGAGTGAGTTCGTTTGTGAGCTCGTAATATTTGTTGACCTTGATGGTATGGTCTTTGGGGATGTTGGTTTCCCAAGGGACCGTAAGCTCTATCATCACTACGCGTTTTAAAATTCACGAAAACAAAAATATATCCGGTCTGGAGGCCGACGCACAAATATCCTCGGGGATTTTATATTGTTTTTCATACGTGTTTTTGTGTTTTTATATTGTTCATTATAGTCCAATCCGACGCCGCTTTAAGGATGGAGTAAGGCTTGACGTTTGATTTTGCAGCCCTAGTCCCTTCTCTCACAAAACCTACTGATCGTTCGTTTGTGGTTATTTCCTTTTGCGCTCTGGCTACCGAAAGACTAACCGCTTCACTTCTAGAACCCTATCGTGACGACGCGAGTATTGACCGCTGTCCAGGAGTACCTTACATCCCACCAGCAGATGCTTAGCAGTTCCAACTGCCTTTCCACAGATATAGCAAGTTTTTTCGGTACTTTTCCCCATCTTACTAAATTACTCTGAACTGGTAGAGTCATCTGGAACGCATTGAGATAGAATTTTAGCAATGCTGGCGACCAATCATAAATTAAAGTGCGCCATTTTCATGCTAATGGGATGCAAAAATCTCCTATGTCTAACCACTCGTTCTGCATTTCTAAATTCATTGCATGGATCTTATATTTATCATTCTCGTCTTGCCGAATAAAAGACTTCAATATATCCGCATCTTGGACTTTCCTATTTGATCCTAATCCCACTCTGTTACTTTGTGCTCCTATCATAAATTGCTTATGGAATTGAAGTCGTGACTCTAGCTCGGGGGCATCTTCATCTTTTGAGAGCGATGTCACTACGTCATCATGGGATTTCCCCAGGATATATCTCTTGGAAACTCTTAAGTGTTTATAGAGCTCCGATGGCCTTTTTAGACTCATCCCAAAACTGTTGCTTCCCCTAAATAACGCCGATGAATCAGCCGTTAGCGCGAGCCCGAGCAACAACTTCAACATCTTTATGACGCCTGCATCCAACTTTGACAAAAGGGTTTTATTAAAATCATAGACGAGGAAAGGCCAGTTCAAACGTGAAGTTAAGTAATTATCGTAGATCCACGCTTTTTTGACGTTACTGATCAGTTGGCTATCTACCTTGTTAAGATCGTTCAAAAAGCTATCTACTATTCCTTCTAAAGATGGAGTACGGCCTATATTATCAATCTTACGACCGATAAATTTAAATGGTGCATTTTCCGTAACCGTAGAAATTCATTGACCGCCTAACGATAGTCCCGGATCGTATGAGGTGTATCTTGTATTCCGCCTACCAAGACACAGACAAGGACATTTACTGGGTTTTGTCCTCAATCCATCCGTCCACTCACAGAATTTATCCACTACTTAAAAAGTATGAACATAGAGAATGAAAATATTGAATGCAAAGTAGTATGACATTATGACCTT